GAGTATGGTTCTCGGACCTGATTTCCCTTCTCGACGGCTCTCCATGGGAGATTCCCGTCAGGAGGGACCTCCTCTCAAAGGAGGTTTTATGAGCTAAACATGCGAGCCACTCCCGGCTCTTCCGTTCTCTCGCCCTAGTTGTGCAGTCTTCCACACTAGGCAGAGACTTGGAAGTCTGGCGGCGTGGGCATTCTCGTTCCCCTAGCGTTTTCGACGCAGCTCGAGTTCCTGAAGAGGAACGTCTCAGGTTACGTATGTAACCCTAGTTCCTCAAGGGAACGAGACGTAGCGTCTCGGTGTCATACTTCCGGCGTCCCTGCCGGCGCTTGCTTCATTCCTAGGAGCTGACGCTGGCTCCGCCGCACGTGCTTTTATAGCTTCCTGGTCATGACGTCATCCGCCGTGACGTCCCGTTCAGCTATTGGACTGATTTCACATGTGATTCAGAGCGTGGGTCGCAGAAGGCATTCCCCTAGCGTTTTCGACGCAGCGTCTCGTTCCCTCGAGGAACTAGGGTTACATACGTAACCTGAGACGTTTCTCTCTTTCAAAGCCATTATTCTCAATAAACAAATAAATTAATTCCTTGATGGTCACGGACAGGTGTGACACAGTTGATATAACAGAAAAAATAGCAATGGTTCCGCATTGTCGAAGACCTTTGTTGACCTTTGACCAAAATGCTGTGTTATTTTGTACAAGCCGCGGCAGTGTAAGAGTTTTTCTATTTTTTCCACAGCTACTAATTTCTATTTTACTAATCCATACAGCCTATCAAAGTCTAGCTTTTCCAGTTCCATCTAAATGACTTCACACAATTTACCAATCTTTGAGTTATATGAGACTTATTTGTAGGATTGCCTCCAGTGAGTTTCACGTTCTGTTCTAGGCTTGTATCTCTACAGATGTATGACCGACAGGCTGTGGCGGGGGAGGCGGATAGAAATGAATTCCTCACAGTGCCATGGCCAGAAGTACAGGCACATACAGGCAAGCAAACCCCAACAGAGTCACTAACTCAGGCCAGATTCTTCCACCCAGATAGCAGCTGTACACAAACTCAACTGCCCCTTCTCTTTCTGTCTCTCTCTCCTCTCCACGATGTTCCACAAAGCTACAGCAAAACCTATTTTGAGCCTCTTTTTCCCTCTCAGTCACTATTCCCATCATCACTCTTTGCTTAACTGCATACACCAGTGTAGCGAATCAGCTCATAAGGGAAATATGAATAATTAATCATACGTCTGTGACGACTTGTTAATCTAATGAATAACTGATTTGTTAAATCAAATGAAAAATAGTTTTTTTGATTGGTCCAGACGCTACACCAGTGTTGACCTTGGACAATGTTGGCCTTGAGCTAGCATACTCCTGCTAGGGTGAAAAGAAAATATTTTTGGCAGTTTTACTGAGGCCTGCAGACAGAAAATCTATACCCCATTATATGTGGCCTACATTAAGAACAGGTAAAGGTTTGAGGGGTGAAATTAGTTTACGATTATATTGACAAAAAAGACAGGTATGCATTGCTGTGAAATACAGGTCAAACTTCAGTTAACATGACCATTAATGTATTTACAGTTCAAGTGAAGAAAAGGAGCCTCAGACAGATTTGATCAACTATTAGCCAACAACTAGTCAACATTATGAAATCCGTTTCTCCTTATACATAAAGATAAGCTTAAATAAATAAGCTGGGAAAATACTCCTTATACATAACATATCTAAAATATCTTCTTGAAGTAGCCCGAGATTTCAATAATTTAACAACATAGTTAATGCTAACGTAAATAGTTACATTTAAGGGTGTTCACATTTGGGTTCACTCTTTACAAGAACCATCTAACACTTCAAGTCACAATTCAAATATCTATGTCTTAGATTTATGTCTTCAAATGTTCAAATCCTCAAGCATTTATTTTGGTAGAAAATTGGTTAAATGCTGCAAACTTTGCACAAACATGTTAAAAATTATGTAAATATGAATGTTACTTAAGTGAACCTATAGAGCACATTACACTCCCAAATGCACATTAAACTAACAGGTCGTGAAGTTTGTGAGAAACAGGATTTATCGAGCAAAAACACGGCAAACTGCAAAAGTGTAAATGAACACAGTGCCGCTCTTCACTCTGAAACATGCAGTGCAACAGACTATATAGTTCTTTAATTACATTACAGCCTTTTATTAAATAATCACAGTTATTCCTCAGTGGTTTTCAAACCCTGGGAACTAGGGCTGTGCGATATTTATCGTTCACTCATTTTGAAAAAAAAAAAAAAAAAACGTCTTCAGAGTCCAAAAGCATTCACTGCATGATGAAGCCTGTTAGAATGCAGGTAGAGTGCTACTATAATTCAGGGTTCAAAAGAAAAATATCCCTGTATGGGTTTTTGCTTTGTTATATTCACAAGATATGATCTAGTTAAGTAATAGGAATTTAAAATTCGTTCCTGAATGAATCTGTTTTTTTAACAAATTGTTCGAGTCATTGATTCAGTGACTCATTCGTTTGAATCAGCCATTTTGAACAAATCGTTTGAATTAACGATTCAATTAATCACTCATTAATACACGGACTTGCTGCCACCTACTGGCGGCTTTAGTGTCATATTTATTTATCCATGACAGGTCTAAACCAGCCAAGGTACAAGCATGAAAACACACTCAGAAAAATATCTCTACCATTATCGAAAAAAAAAAATCCCAATAAATATCGAGATATCATTTTTTGTCAATATCGCACACACCCCTACTGGGAATCATGCCCTAAACCAAACATGGCTTGCTAACCTGGCAAAGCTGTTGTTCAGCTGGTTTATCCGGTCTGTGGCCAAAACCTTGCCTGGTGATCTGCTAAGACCAGTAAACCCCCTTTTCAACAGGCATATGAGTTTTCATGGGCAAGACCGAATCTTCATCATCACCAATTTAAGCTGACGCCAGAGAGCTTTCATCTCCAGTATTACTGAAGGCGGTAAGATGACACCAGCTAAATTATGCCTTAGACTTCTGTATACATGACACAAACAAGTGTCCTACTTACTTGTACACTCTATTACATTGAGGCAAATTGATTATTAGTCAATAGTGAAGAAAACTTATGTTTCACCACTATGTGAAACTTCTGTATTTTTCTGCAGCTCCAAACTTGTTTGCATTGACCTGTGTGTCAGCATAGAGCCACTCTTTCTCCACACACTCCTGGACAGATTATTACATATGCATGTGTATTCAGAATGAGGGTATGATGTCAGGCTGGAGTTCATAGATCAGGTTACCTTCAGCAAGAAAATAAAATTTGTATCATCTTACAAGGTAAACAAACTCCCCCAACCCCTCAGTCCGTTCATCAAGCTCTCCCTAACTAACATACTTTAGCTGCATTAAGCCTCTGGTTGACTTTGGATTATGCTGTCAGGTTTTTATACAACAGAATGCACCCTTAAAGACTGTGTCTTTAATTTACTAAATTGATTAAAAAATCGGAAGCGTTCTGAAATTGCTCTGCCATTTTAACAGCGTTTTATTTCTCTGTCCTGTGAAAAACCATCTGGTCTATACAAAGAATGCAGAGGTGGCGGGTTTCATCGGTGATTTAATGGACTATCAGGTTGAAGAGCTGTCAATACCAAGCTTAGATGGAGAGTTTGTGCCACATCTCTGTCCACGTGCAGGGTATTATCTTGCACGCTGGTCCCAATCACAAAGGGGATTTGGTTATGGAATGGACTCAATAAGCAATAGGAAATATTAGTCAGGGCTTGGAAACCCTGTATGGTTTGGTTTAATGCTTCTTGATCTCAAAGCCTGGATTTAAGATCAACAATAAATGCTAACATCTATTAATATTCTATTGTAGAGCCACAGAAAAAGAAAATTAGTCTCCACCAAGAGTGAAGAGTGAAAGTTCTCTCGAGAGGCTTATGAGTATTACATAATTATGGAATAAATTAGTGCTGTCAAACGATTAATCGCGATTAATCGCATCCAAAATAAAAGTGTTTGTTTGCATAAATTATGTGTGTGTTCTGTGTATATTTACTATGTACATATAAATACAGACACATACAGTATATTGTCACGATGCACACACACGAGGAACAAGGAGACGCTGGAGAATACTTTACCAAGACTTCATTTGCACCAAGGGAGACGAACACAGGAAGACGTTCACAGGAAGACTTTCAACAGCGGACCGAGAACTTGGGACTGGGAACAATTTTTATACACACACAGGAGGAGGGGATGACGAGACACACCTGGGAGCAATGAAACATCATGGGGAACACCTGGGACAAATTAAACATGGGAAAGGAACACCTGGGGAGCAAGACACAGACAAAACATGGAACAGAGTCTGACATATATATTTTGAAAATATTTACACGTATTTACATGTCTATATTTATATTAATACAATTTATATTATAAATAAATATATATTTAATATATAAAAATAACATATTTTTCTGAAATATATAGATGCATGTGTGTGTATTTATATATACACAATAAATATACACAGAACAAACAAATATATTATGCAAACAAAAACTTATTTTGGATGCGATTAATCGTTTGACAGCACTAAAATAAATAAAAGATTGCTGAGAATTAAAGAATTTTGTGTAATTTATTATACCTTTTTATTTATTTCATTTATTATACTTTTTTTTATAAAGCCATGAGGGGGAGTAAATGATGACAAAATTTTTATTTTTGCTATCTATCAAGAATGATATATTGTAAGATTGTAAGCATCTGTGACCCAAAGCATCTGTGTCTGTTTCCTCTTATTGACTGTTATGGATTTTTAAGGACCTCTAAACTGTGGTTGCAACTTGATCAGAGGATAAGAAACAGTATAGCTTCGTACTTGTAAACATTTGCACTTGGTTACAGCCAGCTGTAATGTGGAGGATGTCAACAGCTGAGCGGCCTCAGAATTTAGCTTAAGCCATATTAGCTGCTGGCTATGATACACGCTATCCACCTCTAAAGAGTCATCCATTCTAACTGTCAAAGAACTGATCTGCTTTCTCAGGGCCCACAGCCCGGATTTAGTGAGGATCTTATGCACCACTAGTAGCTGAGTCCCTGGGACCAATAACAGAAAGCAAAGGGATTTCAGAAACCCAATGCATCTGGTCCATGTTAAACTGTTGCACCATAAGAATCAAATCCTCTATTATTTCAGGTTCTTGGCTGACCTAAATGTCATAAAAAATTAAAAGGTTCTTTGTTTATGTTGATGGTCGTTCCAACAAACTAAGATCCTAGCCAAAGACAAACTCTAGGTTTTAGATCATATAAAATGAGGCAGTTTGTGTATACGAGACATCACCTCAATTTTCCAGATTCCAAAACCAGACGAGGAGTGGCTAAATATACTTAAGAATCCTACTGTATGTTTACCCTGAGATTCTAAGCAAGAGTGTTACTGGCTCCAAGAGACACCCAAACATAAGGACAAATATTACGAGATTTTTTTTTAGAAATTGGCACATTCCTAGGGTTGTAGAAGTAAAGGGGGATTTGGACTTTGAACATTTAAGCATAGTCATCAAAGGAAGTAGGAAACACCTTACCTGCTAAAGTGTAGTCCATGTCAAAGCCGAAGCATTTAATCTTTTCCATGGCCAGACTTCTGTTCACAAACACTCTGGGGAAGAAGGTGAAACAGTCAGAGGTGTGTTTGGTGGCAATAGTCTGCAATTCGCAATTTTGAGAAATAAAATAAAATGGCTCGCTTTTAGAGAACAAAATAAAATAAAAAAACGACTAAACTATGGCATTCCCAGCAATAAATAAACTCCCATCCCTGGGCCAACATGCTAAGAGTGATCTGAATTTATTTTGAACACTGACAGCTCTATGCTTTAGTCCATAAGCCATGATATTTAATGCCAGGATATGAACACAAAGGAAATTCTGAATCACTCTCTGTGTATGCATATAATCTGATACCGACACAGATAAACCACAAACAATAACTGACAGATATTTTCACTTCTATTGTATCCATAGTTTTACAAGAGATTCAAAGTTTATATTGCAGCCAGAAACAATTTCAACAACATAAAATAGCATTTTTCAACTTTTAAACAGCAACTGAATATATGTAAAGTAGTATATTTTTATTACATAAAACAAAGAGAAAAAGTGGAAATGATCATCAGAGACGTCAGACCAGTATTAAACGCTTTTGTAACCCTATAAAAATTGACAAAACTTTAAAAAGAAAATCATTACTACCAAAACAAAGTCACTTTGATCAACCCTACCTTGTGGTGGCATAACACTGGACTACATCCCATGATTGACTTTTCCAGGTAGGACCTGCGCACTGCATTCTGAGTGGATGTCACTGCTCTAGCTGGTCTGTCAAGCCCATTTCTCTGTTCACCCTGTTACCCCCACAGCAAACAATAGCCCCCTCTCTCTGCTTTCTTGTCATTGAATTTCTGACTTGTTGCAAAAATGATTGTGCCAGTTCTATAGCATTCTCTGTTGTTGTGCCAGTTGTTGAGTTAGGAGTGGTTTGCTTCCCTTCAAAGACATCTAGAACAATCAACAACAGCAGGAAGAACCAGGCGGGTGCAGCGGCTCAACACAACAGAGTGTGCATCACTAGTTAGAGACAGCTGGTAAACAGATGACTCTTGTATCTCCAATGGATCCTCATTGTTGCCCTATTCTGTAATAGGCTACTTATACTGTACCAGATACACTATAAAGGGGAGGAGACAAACCTCTCATATAAAACTGAATGGAAGAAATATGGTGACTGTAGAAATGGGAAGTCCCGCCTTTCAGCTAAAAGAACCGATTGCCTCTTTGTTTACTTAGAAACACGCATGAGTTTGAGTTTGTTTACTTAGAAAAACGCATGTATATATGATTAAGTAATATTTGTTGTGTTGAAAATAGGGACTTGCCAAAATGAATTTTTAACCAAAACAAAGAAATCGAAACTAAGTCAACAAACAAAACCAAATTTGGTTAACTGGGTAATTGAACTTGGTATGCTGTATTGGGTGTCATGTTTTCAGGTGATAAACTAAATGAAGTTCAACAACGAACTGTCTCTTGATATTTCTGCGAAATAAACTTAACATATTGCTGTTTTAGGATCCTTTTAGTCAATGATCACCCTCCAAAACTATTTTGGACAAATATTGTCTTTTTTTTTTTTTGGCTGATTATTTTTGGTTGCGGAAATTGTATATCACTAGTTGAAATGCCATCTTGATAAACAGATTGGAAGTTTTCAGTCCCTTGTAGCCTTGTATACCAAGATGACTGCCACATAAAAAAGGACTTTGATTGTTCTCTACAGCAATAAGGGTCACAGATTTTGTGTCATTAATATACATTAGGACATCCTGATAAAAGATATCGAAGATATTGACAAGTTGGATGAATTCCACCTCAGTTCTTGATCATCAGAGTGGTAGTTTTCAGTCTCTTGCCTTTTACCAACATACATAAACAGCCTGGGTGGGGGTGTTACTACGATGGACGCCACAAAAACAGACTTACTTAAAAGAAACATGATTTTTTTTCGGGTCACAGATTTTGTGTCATCAGGACCATATTCTTTTTTTCTGTGTTTTACAGCTTCACCACTACGTTCCACAGAGTTGGCAAATTTTTCACTGCACATCTCACACGACAGATAACAGCACTGCCTTTGGACCTCAGATAGACTGTACAGAGAGTGGAATCCCTGCCATGATGCTCACATTTACTTTTCCTTATCTAAACCCCCTTATCTGGCTAATGGAACAAGGCAGTGAACTTTTGGCTTCAGCACGGAGAAATGTAAAGTCAAAGTTCACGCACAGTAGGAAGAGTAAACTATGCTCTATTTCAGACGTGACCTTTGGTTGGATTAATTCCACAAGTGACGGTGTGTGCTAAAGGGGCAGATTTTTAAGAGGAACCGAATGGCACACCTCTTATCTACTGAAGATTGCATAATGCCACTGCATGGCAAATTCCATACTTGTGGGGTTGCACAAGCTCCTCTATATTCCCTAGTCTTACGTGTTCCATGTGCCCGTTTTCTCTATGTAGTTTGAAACATCGCTGCAGGGTTTTGCCTATAATTAGGTAACTCCATTCTTTATTTTAATTTAAAATCCCAATTTACCAGAGGAGCTGACTGTCTAAATAATAGGATCTTTTCTTGACATAGTTGCTTAAATTTTTAACGTGATTCGTAAGATGTAAAATCACAGAGTATGGAATGCTCAGTGAAAACTATTATAAACTCAGACTCAACTGGCTCTTCTAAAATGAGTGGATTGCAAACAAATGACACTTTATCTAAATAGAAAGGAAAATGCAATTTCCTTTTGAGGAGATGATGTCTCTGAATTCTAACTGACAAATCTGTTTTTCCAAGCCACCCAAACACAGTGGTTATACAGTCAGTTTATACTGTACCTATGATAGGCCTCTCTCCTGTATTTCTTCATCGCCAGGCCATCCATGTTTGCTGGGAGATCTGCATAGTCCTGAAGTCGATCGCTCCATGATGTTGTCATCATTAAATCTCTCCGTTGTGAATCTGTAAAAAGATTAAAAAATCTCTTAAATACTTTGAGAAAAGAGAAAGAAACAGAAAAACCTTGATTAATGTTTTTTTTTAAGTGGCACCATTAAAGTATGAATGCTCTCAGATTTCCTAGATTGGATTAGTAATTTTCTATAGATGTTATCACCTACTAAACAAGCCAATACACAACTGCTGCCTGTTTATGTGCCAACTTCTAATCTAATTGCATCAGATTGACCAGAATCAAGAAAGACAAACATAACGACTTGATTTGATTATCTATCATTTAAACAGATAGTCTTTAAACACTTTGTCTGATTGTTTCACATACAAGAAAAGCCCACTCAGTCATTGTGAAACCAATTTCATACTGCTGACTGAAATGTTTGACAAACATGAAGTCCTCTATTACATTTTCACAACTCCTGGTAAAGATACTACGTGTTCCAAATGAGCTTGCCAACACAAACAACCTCTGTGTTTGAAATACTTGGTTTTTGGTATGGAAATGGTTCAAGTATGTGAACAAAATGAAAGCAAGCAGAAAACAGACAACCTCTCTTTCTCTTGAAAGAAGTTAAATTACACCTTACAAAATATGTAAGCACCATCCAAACCATTGAAGCAAGATGAATGACATGCAGCATAGAAGCTTGAGTCAGCATACTGGGGCCAGTGGCCTTCACAAAGGCTGACTTGCACAAACAAGCTGGAGACCTTAAGGGCAAAGGAAGGAGATTTTCCCACCAGCAGTCTATTTTATGATCGGTATGCTGAGGGAAAAGGGGATGTGAGACAGTAGAGTTTGAAAAGAACTTCAGGTGGTGCTGACATCATTCTCTTCTGTAATATAAAAATTAAAAAAACACTCTCACTCTTTTTCAAATATTCAGACATGCCCTCTAGGACAAACAACAGAAATAAACATGCCTCCTTCCACCCAAAAAAAAACAAAACGTAAAAACTCTTTCATTTAATACACAAAAATACCCCAAGGAGGCAGTTATAATGGCTCACTGTCCTCTGTCAGACTGATTTGCATAACATTTTTTGGAAAACCAGAAAGAGAAAGGTTTTTCTTTCTTTTGAGTGCATTTGGTCCATGAACACCAAATGAACACACACAAAAAGAAAAAAAAAACCTTTTCTTTTTCTTTGTAAATTGTTTATATTGGCAGGATGTTCAGCTGTCATGGGAGATGGGTTTTGGTAACTTTTCAGCATGTATCTCTATATTTAGCAATATTTAACACTATATACTTAACAAATAGTGTAAATTAGATATCAATACATATTCAAACATGGTTTGAACCACATTAGCTTCAAAATTTTACACGCCATTGCCTCCTCGCAATAACTTATGACAGCAGCAGTAGAGACTAAACACTGGAGACTAAAACATACTCATATAAACTAATTTGTTGACTTGCACTATTTAGATGCCTTTTCCAGGTCATAACCACAAAAAGTTACATTCAGCTGCTGAAAAACAAGGACAAAGCACCCGAAGACGGTTGAAGAGCTGGCTGGTAAGCAGCTACAGAATTTCCCACGAAAATGGCTGAAACAGAGCTTGACAATCCAGCATATTTAGACAGTTTTGATATGTAAAGGATGTATTGACATTAAGCATCCACGGTGTTCAGTATTGCGCCTGGTATCCTGTTTAAATATAGTGTAAATATATATTTTCACGGGAGCTAGCCTGGCTGAACACAAAACGCATTGATAAACATCATTGTGAGCTTCGCGCAGAACATCAAACATCACCGATCTATTCAAGCTGAACACAAGAAAAGAGACAAGCAAACAAATAAACCACTGACACTAACAACAACAACAACAACTGTAAGTTCAACCATATTCGCTCACTTACCTTCCTTCCGTCAGTACACAAAAGCTCAAGTGCACAGGCAGCACTGTAAACACTTCGGGAAATATCAATAAGACAGAACGCACAGCAGGAAGCAGCAATTCTTACTGTTAATCTGCATCAAAAGCTCGTCTTCAGTTTTCATAACCGTGCCGTAAGCAGTTGCTGAGGGACAGGACGAGGCGGTGCTTGCTGGCTACATCCAGAGGAGGTGGAGCAAAACCTGTCATCGCATCAGGGACGGAGAAATGTGAAGGCGGGGCCTACAGTCTATGGGCGGGACCGCCTCAGCCTCTTGAAGATGGTTGGTCTACTGACAGCTCATTGTTTACAGGATTTTTTAGCCAGATTGTTCACAGTAACACTTTGCCATAAGGTATTACAGTATTTATTAACATAAGTTAATGCAACAGCTAAAATGAACTAACAAAACTGTTCCAGCATTTTGATCAATGTAGACTATTGAACACATAAGGAGTTTTCAAACTGGGGTCCGGGGAAAAGTTTAGAGAAAAAACGTGTAAAAAAAAACAAAATATATATATATATATATATATATAAATATAATAAAAAATATAATAATAATAATAATAATAATAATACATTTGAAAATAAATAAAAATATTATTAAAATAAATTAACAAAATTATTTTAATTAAATAATACATCTAACAGCACAACATTATTAGAAATAAACATAATAAACATAATAGAAACGAAATATTTTCATTATAGAAACAAAATATAGCTTGTAATATTTATTATAATGTATTTTAATGATACATTTTGATCATTTTTCACATTATAAAAAGGGTCTTTAGATCTGTATTGCTGCCTTTTAAATTTTAGGATGGGGTCCCATGCACCGGGATAATCTTTAATATTTGGGGTCCATGACATCTAAAAGATTGAAAACCCCTGCTGTATGACATTAAACATTGTATGTTGAACTGTTAAGACCTAATGAATTATTTACAAATTAACATTAACCAAGATTAATAAATTGTGTAAAAATTATTGTTCATTATTTCATGACTAATTTTAGAACTATATAAATTTAGGTAACACTTGTTAACAAATTTTAGTCTCATTTGTTAACACTGGTTTATGAATTAGCTAAAATTAACTGATAATGATCAATATATACAATATTTGTTAATATTTGTTAAAGTTAGTTACAGTTTTTTGCTTACATTTTCAAAACTTTGACTCTTTTTTTTCAAAACTTTACACACAAATCCAATAATTGCACACACAAAATGCAAAATGCCTCACATCTCTGGCAAAATGAAGCACTGCATTCAAAATATCACAAACACATCTCAAAAGCAAACATTTGCAAACACCTTAATAATATCAGTTCCTTTTAGTTTTGTGTTACATAGAGAATTGTGTGTTGTGATTTGCAAAAATTGTTTTATGAAATTGAAAACTGAGTCAAAGGCTTAGAATTAGCATGGTTTTGCAGATTTGGTGTGTGCTTCTGCTGTTTGAGTGTCAGGTTTCAGAAATTGTGTGACAAGTAAAGATTTTGTGTGTAATAAAAATACAGCTTTTCATACAGTTTTCACAAACAAGTGGTACATTTTCAAAACTCTTAGTACTAATTTAAGACCATCAAAAATGCACTCTTTTCAAACATTTCAGCATATATTTGATTATATTAGTGCAAAACACAAAATCATTTTCATTTAATTTTTACTACACATGATGTTTTATCTACATAAAACTTTCATTCACAGTAATTGCCTTTCATAATGCTATTACTATCAAACTTTCCATCCGCATCTCTTCTCTTTGTTTTATTTAACCTATCACATCATTTAACCCATCTGATCTTAATTGTTAGTCAATGAATCATTGGTATAGCTATAGATTTCTAGATTCTATATAGATAGATTCTGTGGAACTTGTTTGGAGTTTCTGAAACCAAATATAAGGACTTCTCGTTAAAAGCTTAAGCAATTTTTCTCAGAGGAAAACCACAATGTTCAAAGCATGTGTGTGTGTGTGTGTGTGTGTGTGTGTGTGTGTGTGTGTGTGTGACAGAAAGAGAGTTAGAGATAGAGAGAGAGAGAGAGAGAATGCATTTGCAGTTTGTGAACATTGAACCAGACAGAGTAAAGGAGAAGAAACAATCAATGACTGTGAATCTAGATTGATCAGAGATGCCTGGGTTAGGACTGTCAAATTACCGTAACTCACCCTTCATCTGAGAAGTCAGTACATTCAGTCATATTGCACACTGAGAACATCTACTGTATTGGTAGCAAACTCTGTTCTAGTGTTCCATGTCATACTGTACCTTCATTACATCTTTTGATAACACAATAGATACTATTATACAGACATTATAGATTTTATGTCAGTTACGTAAGTTGGGTAATGTGAGTGTATTTTGTAACATAACTGTAATCTGTATTACTGAAACATCTTTAATTCACTAACATGGGTGATTTGAAACGTATTACACATTGTTTGCTAGTGAATTGACTGATTGTTAAAAGTACTAAATTGAAAGAAGATTATAGGCCTAATATTGTGTTTCGGTGACTAAACCAAATGTTCTAATCACATATTGCAATAATCCTGTGTTTTGAAGCTATGGTTGTGTGGACTGAAATTCTGCATAACTTGAGTTTTGAAAGATTGACTAGCAGTGTTACAAGTGTGATCAGTTTAGATATTTGCACCAATAGTTTTGAAAATGTACATATTTTATATGAAAATATCACCAAAGTGGAAAAAAAGTAAATGCTGTAGTAAAAATGTATATTAATTAAAATTAACAAATGCTGTTGAAGCATTGTTGATTGTTAGTTCGTGTTAACTAAAATAGGTAACTAATGCTGACTAATGAAATAATATCTAACATTATGGTTGTTTGAGTTATCAATTTAGTGTTTCATAGTGGTTTTTGAATATGATTTCAAAATGTAAAGCAATCCAAATGCTATCCGTTTATACAGTACCACCAAGATGTTCCAAGATGTGGGTCTTGTTGTCTTTTCTGCCTGCTGCCATAATGTTTGCTCCTCAGATTATACCCCATTTACAGAATACCAGTTCACCATCTGCCCTGTGCATTATATGTTCACCACATATTTAGATATTTATATTATCCTCACACAACACTTGGCAGGTGTGTATTATAAATGCTCTTGAGTATTGTATGTCATTAAACTGTATATTGTGCTGTCTCCATTTAGTAAGTTGTTACACAAAAATGTCTCTTCAGGGATCAATAAAGTAAGTCCTATACATCTAATTAATATACTATATATCTATTTTTTTAAAACGAGAGAAAAAAAGTTTAGGCATAATGTTTATCGGATTTGATGAATGATGTGATTTGATTGATTTAATCAAATTAAATCATATATTTATTATTTTAGTAAAACCAGTTAATTTGGATGTTTTAGAGTGTATTAAATAAACTAAAAATGTATCTCATGGTACAAAGCTGTCATTGGGGTGGTATATTATAGGTACAAAAACGAATCATTGTACCACTATTTACCCCTAAGGGGTACATATTAAAAGTACATATTCATACTTATTCATATTTGTAAGTATTCATATACCTTTTGAAAAGGTAGTCCCACAGTGACATTTCTGAACTTTTGTTCTCATATTGTTTCTCATTTATCTCATTTATTAGTTTATTAGTTCACGTGGTGCATTTAAACAAAAAAGCCTGTCAACCAAAGTTTGCTGTCTCAAAAAAACAAACAATAAAATAAAATAAAAATCAATAAGAAAGAAAGAAAGAAAGAAAGAAAGAAAGAAAGGAAAAGGTATCTCAATCGTCAGTTACAGTTGAATCTGAAGGCCACACAGGACATGGAAATTGGGCTAAACCTTGCTTTGTTTGTTTGCCTGCAATCTGTTAAGATCTCGAAGCGTCCAACAGATGGCAGCACTGTACTGTCTCCTTGTCATAGACATATATTTAGTGTGTACTGTGTAGCCCTCCCTATCTTACAGGGCTTTTACTCGTGTCAAATTTAACACATTATTATGGCTGTATTACATTCACGGATTATAGAAAAATAATTCTACGATAGGCTGTTTTTGTTTGATATGTGAGAATCTAGCCTAAGGCAAGTTAGTGTAGACGCTAAGTTCCTTTTTCATTAATATTTTTATAACTCAAAACGGACAAAAGTAAGCTATTATTACTATAATCTACACTGTACACATGTTAACAATTTGGTAGTAAATAGGCTAAGTAAAAAAAAAAAAAGAAAGAAGAAGAATTCCACAGTAATATAAACTATGAATTAGGCTACCTACAGATTTACAGAGAAATATTTATATTAACCTATTGGCCATTCAAAAAAAAATAAAAAATAAAAAAAAATCATTAGCTACATTACTTTATACATTTACAGAAAAAGGAGCATTCCCCGAATTCCCTGCACCACCCATCGCAGTTGAACTCAATGAACTCGTCATTACAATTATTTGGCATTTCACGCAATCAGATTTTATGAACAGATCTTAATAGCACATTTTACATAACTTAACTGTATAGCACTACATGTGCAGAATTTTGAAATATAACTGCCATACGTAATGCTTGTAACACCATCACTTTATTTTAACACCATCACAGCCGCCTGTTTTTACGTTATTTTTTCTTTTTATTCTAAATAATAGGATAATAATAATAATAATACAAGTAAGTAATAATAAATAATACAATAATAATAATATAATAATAATACAAGCAGTAGGTATTTTTCACAGATGTGACGTGATCGTGTATGAGTGAGTAAATAAACGATATGATATTTTGCTGACATCAGCACTGCGCCAAAAAGGACAGTTCCATCCGCTCGCTGCTGCCGACCTGAGTCTCCAGTGAAATACAGAACACAACACCTTCCACAGGCAAAAAGCACTCTTTGCGCCTTTAAAAGTTAAAATAACCTATAGATCAGCTTACTAGTCGTATTTTTTCAGGGTATGTCCATCTGAAACATCTGCAGTAAGGAAGGTTGAATGCGAGGAGCAGCACGGGTAAATTATTGATTGGGACAGTCCTGCTATAAAAGGAGACGCCGCCTGGGTTCTGCTCATTGTCTTCAAAACGCCAAGATGAGCTACGGATCCGACATCTACTCCGCCTCTTCCTACCGGAAGATCTTCGGGGACTCCACCCGCTACTCAGCCTCTCCATCCCGGCTGAGCAGCTCCCGGAGCGGCTTTAAGTCCCAGCCCACGACCCGCTCCAGCATCCCAAGCTCATACAAGCGCAGCACCCGATCTGCCTTCCCATCTTCATCCTTGAGTCTGGAAAGCTTCGACTTCACCCAGAGCACAGCGCTTAATAATGAGTTCAAGATCATCCGCACCAACGAGAAGGAGCAGATGCAAGGGCTCAATGACCGTTTCGCGATGTTCATCGATAAAGTTCGCAATTTGGAGCAGCACAACAAAGTGCTGGAAGCCGAACTCGTGACCCTGCGCCAACGCCAGACAGAACCGTCCCGTCTGGCCGAGCTCTACCAGCAAGAGATCCGAGAACTGCGCTCCCAGCTCGAGGAACTTAACGCGGAGAAGAACCAGATGATGTTCGAGCGCGACAACATTGAGGAGGACTTCCAGAAACTCCAGGAGAAGTTCGAGGAGGAGATGAGAATGCGCGAGGAGGCTGAGCAAACGCTTAGAGCTTTCAAGAAGGACGTTGACAACGCCACCATGGTGCGCCTAGACCTTGAGAAGAAGGTCGAAGCCCTTCTGGACGAGATCAACTTTATGAGAAAGGTGCAGGAGGAGGAGGTGACTGAGCTCATGAACATGATCCAGGCTACCCAGGTGTCCGTGGAGATGGAAGTGGCCAAACCCGACCTCACCTCCGCCCTCAAGGAGATTCGCGGCCAGTACGAAGTCATGGCGAGTAAGAACTTGCAGTCCGCTGAAGAGTGGTACAAGTCCAAGTTCACCGATCTCAGCGAAAAGGCCAACAAGAGCAACGAGGTCATTCGCGCCAGCAGGGAAGAGCTCAACGAGTTCAGGAGGCAGCTGCAGTCCAAGACCATCGAGATCGAGAGCCTAAAGGGCACCAACGAATCTCTGGAAAGGCAGATTCATGAGATGGAAGACAGGCACAACGCTGAGGCCATGGGCTACCAGGTTGGTTTCCTCAATTTTAATCTTACACACGGGTTCTACCGAGTTACAAAGTATGGATATCGGAAAAGAGTTTCGCTTCTTTAAAATGATCACAAACATTGAGAATATTCGCGTTTTCTTAAAACAACCAATCGCTATCTGTTTTGTTTAAAGATAGAATAACTAGTGTTTGAAACTTGTGCTTCTGCTAACCAGACAGCAGACAAAAGAGCACCGTGAAATGGGCGTGACCACAGCAAGTGACTGTGAATGTTAGCCTACCGCTTCTCTGTCCATGGTGCTAAAATGACTTCAGACGGTTAAATGAACAGCCTATATTGGATATTTTATTCATAAGGTTTTCCAAACCTTGTAATAAATCAGCTACCATAAAATAATGATGACAAAGTGTCACTAAATAATGAATGTAAGTGCTTTAGCCCATACAATTAAATCTAATCTATGTTTTTTCCACAAGCATAGGTTAACGTTGCCTACTGTAAAGTCTTTCTTTCTTTCTTTCTGCAATGCATGTGCAGAGTTTCAAAAATAAAAGGTTCTTTATTGGCATCAATGATTTCATGAAGAACCTTGCACCTTCCATGGAACCTTTCCATTCCACAAAAGGTTCTTAATAGTGGAAAAGGGGTTCTTTAGATGTTTAAGGATTACTAGATTTTTAGTTCTTCACTCTAAGAAAAAATGGTTCTTGTAAGAATTGTTCACTTAAAGGTTCTTTGGGGAACAGAGAATGGTTATTTTATTGCATTGTGACGAATATCCTTTATTTTTAAGAGTGTATGGAAACATTTCTAGTGTCAAAACAAATAATCCAGTCTAAATGCAGCCGTTTTTTTAATCATAAATATATCATGTAACATCACCCAGGATACAATTGGGCAGTTGGATAATGAGCTGAGGACCACTAAGAGTGAGATGGCCCGTCACCTTAGGGAGTACCAAGACCTGCTGAATGTCAAGATGGCGCTTGACATAGAGATTGCTGCTTACAGGTAATAAACAATGTTTTTATTGATATGTGAAGGTGAAGGCAAGTGAAATGTGCATTCTGTCCATTCTTTATCAACATACCTGTGACCTAAAATGAAAATCATGAGAATTGCTTTAATGGAATTAGCTGATGTGATACAGAAATGCATTGCACTGATCTCTCTTCACCTTTTCCACCACACCCTGCCTCGCCACCTTCTCTTTGTTCACCCTTCCATTTATTATCCATCTCAGGAAACTGTTGGAAGGGGAGGAGACACGTATCAGCACCGGGATCACCTACCCCACCCCCGCCTCAGTGTCCAGCTACAGCTACCAGTCCCGTATGTACAGCAGCTCTAGCGTTAGTGGAAAGAAGGAGGTCAAGGATGATGATGACAAACATCAGCAGAGCAGTAAACCCGGCAAAGGCTCCTCCCAGTCCGATGACTCCAAGAAGAGTGACAAGATCGACTCTGGAGACGTGAACCCCACCAACCAGAAAAACTAAACGTCTCAACCCTCTTTCTTTCTTCCACTCCTCCCTCTGCCTTCTCCATTACCCTCTTTTCCCTTTCCCCAAGCAACTCCCCTCCACAAAGGGGGTCTCAGAGAGGAATCTAGCGTATTTTGACTATTCTCCACTAATTCACCTCCCACTCAGTCACAGGCAGCAGCCCTTCTGTAGCAAACCACTTACTACTCAATACACACTCTTTGATGCATATATTCTCTGTTTCCAGGGCTGCACTGAGTTATTTATTGCCACTTTTAACTGCACTAAAACAGGCTTCTCTCAGCACATTGCGTTAAGAAAATGTCTGTGTGTTTAGCTGAAGGTATTATTGTGCTGCAGTGCAAAGCCAGCACAAAACTTGACTTGCAATAATATTTTCTGTTTTACAATATAAGCTGTTAGCAAAGCAGTTATTGTTGTCTTTGAATCATGCCAGCCCTAGTAACAATGGCATCTGGGAGTATCATTGCATCAGAATTGTATCTCCAGTTAACTTCTCGGCATGCTCATAATGCATTCTTGCCAAAAAAATAAAAAATAAAAATCCGAAACTAGACATGCATAGTTTCGAAAACACTTCACCCAGCCAAATTCCTCTCCAAGACTGCTCTTGATTCCATTTTTAAACATATTCTACCCACTTGCCCTTTAAAAGCAACAAGGATTTGAGCCTAATAGCAAGTCCTCACTGCATGAGGTGTTTCTGCTGTTTGCATGGTGACTGTATGTGGGTCCAACAGAAGTTTACCTATACTTTCATAGCGGTGTGCCTGCCATTCCTCTCAGTACTTAAGGCTGCATTAGTTCACCAGCCAATGGGCAAGACTGAGAGCAAAATGTTACACAGTACTGCTGAAGCCTTTCACATGCTGCTAAACGCTTGTGATTAATACAATTTCTAACAAATACTTTAAAGCCAATCAAGTCAGGGCACTTAAATGTATGCAAACAGCATCTCATCCATATCAACAGGCAGAATGAAGGAATATGGAATGCTTGGGAAGATATCGCAAAAACATGGTTAATAGAAAGATAGTGTAAGTGTGAGTAAGAAATAAGAAATAGAAAAAAATGGCTTGTTTGAGCCAGCTTTAAGTTCAGTTTACCTTGCTGCTTCTGAGTCCAGATTTGGTTGTGTTTGGGCGGCTGATACAAATATTATGAATTTGTTAAGAAAAGTAAAAGTATATGCTTAGAAGTTAGAAAATGCATTAACATTTCAACATTTTACTTTTATATTTGTGGATGCCTGAAGCACATTTACAGTGTGGAAACGCAGTCACTAGCACAACTTTTCACAATGCATCTCAAACACCTAAACATCATACTTGAATCTAGTGTACTCTCATACAAAGAAGTCACTGTCACAGTGAACCTCCGTTAACCATGGGTCAAAAATGAATCCCTTTGGTAAACGTATATTAAAAGGTAATGCTAGTGAAATATCTTCATAACACTTCTGCTACACTGCCAGGTTTTGATACCACTTGCCTCTATGTCATGGCTTTGTCATGCCTGACTTGCTGCACTCTTTCTATAGACAGTTTAAACAGATTGATAAAGTTGGGCTTAACTGACTTTAAGAACTGTATGATGGGAACCCAAGTGAATGGGTTTCTTTCTCTATCGGAATTAATTTTTCCGATGAACACTGTGACATCGGCATGCTTAGCTGCAAGGGAATGTCAGGCAAATCTGGAATTTTGTCTTTACGTTCTCACAGATGCTCCTTAGGCCTGGTATGCTGGTAAAGCTGAACATTTTGGGATTGCTCTGCCAGTTTTGGGAGAGCGAAAGATGATTGCAGAAAGCATAGTGACACAATGCAGTTTGAAGAAGGAGAATTTCAAACCTGCACTGCCAAACTTTTGTAATGCATGTGCAATCAGCATCCCTCCATAAAAAAGCAACCTGCTTTTACACCAATACAAAACAATCCATCTAAAACATGCTACTGTTTATGTATGAATGCTCTCAGTTATAAAAAAATGCCTTAAGCCACCAGCAGCTTTCTGAATCTGGCAGGGTGTGCATTAACCTGTTATTTCTGCTAAGAATGTGACTTTGTTTGCTATCTAGTGTGTAGGGGCCACTGTGTACTGGATGACTGAAAACTTTAGGAGCTGAATGTAGTTGATGTAATTTCTATTTAGTCATTATCTTACAGCTGTATGGCACATGACCAATAAAGACTTGACATTATAAAGCCCACCTTAACGTGTCTGTCCTTATTAAATTGAATGCGATTTCTGAAAGCTCACCCGAAATGGCTGGTGAAACTGTTACCGAGTTAATGACAGACATGTTTTCTGTATCAAGCATTATAACAATTAATTTGCTTTTGCAGTAGAACTCAAGACATTAACGGTCAATATCCATAATATTTGAAGATTTTGTGGTTTAAAACTAAACAGCTGATGCATTTCTATTAAGTTAGGCCACTTGAAACATGAGCAATAATCAATTTTGCCAACGCTCCAGTCTACCTAAAAGGTGGTGAGATATTACTGTCTTATATTTCTTGACCTAAGTGAACTGAAAACAAGTAACCTATAACTATCTTAACTGGTTTTATTCAAGTCAAAATGTTATTTAATATCACTGAATCTACCTAAATATGTTAAGTAATACAGGTTAAATCAAGTAGAAAAAGATCGTATATATATATCGGTACAGGTAATATATACAGTGGGTACAGAAAGTATTCAGACCCCCTTAAATTTTTCACTCTGTTATATTGCAGCCATTTGCTAAAATCATTTAAGTTAATTTTTTTTCCTCATTAATGTACACACAGCACCCCATATTGACAGAAAAACACAGAATTGTTGACATTTTTGCAGATTTATTAAAAAATAAAAACTGAAATATCACATGGTCCTAAGTATTCAGACCCTTTGCTGTGACACTCATATATTTAACTCAGGTGCTGTCCATTTCTTCTGATCATCCTTGAGATGGTTCTACACCTTCATTTGAGTCCAGCTGTGTTTGATTATACTGATTGGACTTGATTAGGAAAGCCACACACCTGTCTATATAAGACCTTACAGCTCACAGTGCATGTCAGAGCAAATGAGAATCATGAGGTCAAAGGAACTGCCTGAAGAGCTCAGAGACAGAATTGTGGGAAGGCACAGATCTGGCCAAGGTTACAAAAAAAATTCTGCTGCACTTAAGGTTCCTAAGAGCACAGTGGCCTCCATAATCCTTAAATGGAAGACGTTTGGGACGACCAGAACCCTTCCTAGAGCTGGCCGTCCGGCCAAACTGAGCTATCGGGGGAGAAGAGCCTTGGAGAGAGAGGTAAAGAAGAACCCAAAGAACATTGTGGCTGAGCTCCAGAGATGCAGTCAGGAGATGTATCAGTGTTGTATTAGTACCACTGAGATACTATTATATGTTTAGATTTTTTTATTTCATTTCAGTTTTAGTTTTAGTTGTTTTAGTACATCAAGCTAAACTAAACAGTAACACTTTACAATAAGCTTTCATTAACACTGGTTAATGCATTATTAAGTAACATAAACGAACAATGAGCAATATACATTTTTAAAGCATTTATTACACTTTGTTATTGTTAGTAAAAATATTCAGGTTCATGTTAATTAACAGTGCATTAACTAATCATAATAAATACAACTTTTGATCCTAAAAATGTGTTAACAAATGTCTTAATGTTAATCTTAACAATGTGCCCTTTTTTGGATAGAACGTAAGAACACAGCAGGAAGCCCACCTTCAACCTTGTGCCTGTTGTGATCCAGCGGTCCCATAATCCATCATGTTCTAGTTTATGTGAGTCTTTAGGGATCAGGAGTCAAGAGGACAAGGACAATTCCATTGTGTTTTTTCTTTCTTTCTCAGTGAAAAGCAATGTAGTATAAAAATGAATTCTAAAATAAATGCAAACAATTTGATTGTACAAAGGACACAGAAATAAGCTACATTACTGCTATATGTGAACACACACAAACACAACCTTTACCTGTACCGAGCCCACATATGGTGTGGTAACACTCGTGACTGCACCTCTGTGCTGTGTGGGCAACATACATTGCAGTTATACAAAGATTTATATCCCTGCAATGCTGCCAACAAGCTATAAACGTCCCATTGTGACAAATGCGCACTAAGAGTCACCTCTCACACCCCAAGCCTAAACAGAGACTTTATTCAGCTCATATTTCATTGCCATTCTCTGTATCATCTGGTAAATCTGTCTTCACCTCACTAACATCATCAGAGACTGTAACCCTGATGCTATTGATGACTGACTTCATACTGTAATAGTGTCAGCATGTTTCTCTGTTATGGACAGGTATAAAGTTGTTTATCTTGTACCCAAATCTCTATTAAGTTTTCCTTTCTGTGACAGAGATAAAGTAGAAATGGACTTACTTGAAGTTACTTGGATGTGTTATCCACACCTCAGTGCACATAGTCTCTAAATTAACTACTCAACTATCCTGTAGAGACCAGGCTGACATGAGCAGCCAGGCATCACAAGATAAGAGACATGCCATAAAGTAAGAATGATAGACATTGTGTGAATGCATGTGTATGTGTTAAACATAGAGATTTAGATCAGGTATACTTAGATTACCTAAACTTAATTTGTCTAATGAAAATGGCTAGTTCAATAAAAATAATTATGTTATTCAGTCAGCAATAGATGGCATCTGAAATGTTTAGCTATCCACAGGGTGAAAGACAGGTTATGACATGTATTGCGAATGACACAGGACAAAATTAATTAGAATTTTTGGAATTATTTATTTCACTTAACTATACTATGTTTAATTATAAAACAAATCCCCACTCAAGTAAATTTGATAAGACAGCATTTTTATTAATATAGCAACTGCAAACCAACAAATAACTAATTTTCACTATGAAGCCTGTAATATAACTGAAATAAAGACATGATTTATGAAAACTAGCAAGACTTAAATTCAATCATAGTTCACACAAAATACATCTACATGCACATACAGAATAGTTTAACTTTACTTAAACTACCTAGCACTTATACATTTATAAATCTAACAACAATCATAAAAAAAACTGCATCATGCATCAGGAAATTAATCAAAAATAATGTTACATCTGTATACTTGCTATCCTCACTTTCTAATAAAGTAAAAATTGCACACCCAAAGCTTCTCCACAAAGACATATGATGCAGTAGAGGAGAAGATGATCAGAGAATAATGCCTTGTCATTACAAACCTACTGTATGAAGAACCTGGACTATAGTGCACAAGTGGTATAAAAGTCATACTTTTATGGTGCTTTTTTTGTCCTTGTTTATGATAAACTATCACTGTGTGAGAAACAAGTTGAGATTCTTAAAAAAAAAAAAAAGAAGTTGGGTTCCACAGAAAATAACATGTAGGTTTGGAATGACATAAAGTTTTGGTTCCTATTGACTTTTATTGTGTGGACAAAAAATACAATGGAAGTCAATGGTCACCAAAACTGTTTGGATACCAACATTCTTCAAAATATCTTCCTTTATGTTCCATAGAACAAAAAATATTGTACAGGTGTGGAACGACAGTATTTTCATTTTTGAATGAACTATCCCTTTAACATAATCAAGCATGCATATGCACACAGAGGCTGCTGAATTTTTCATGTTTTTCTCCTGGTGGAAGGACAATGACTGGATGAGGCAACAGAGAGAAAATCTCAGTGGTGTCCTCATCATGACCTTCTCCTATCAGAGAGAGGTCATCTTGCACATGGTCAGAACAATTTTCTCAAACAAAAGAGATTTTATTATTACATTTTGCACATGGCAATCCGTTCTTGAAGTTCTTAAAGGGTTAGTTCACCCAAAAATGAAAATTCTGTCATTAATTACTCACCCTCATCTCGTTTCAAACCCGTAAGACCTTCATTCATCTTCG